GGGCTCGGGGAGGGTGACCGTACCCGCAAGGAGGAGATTTCGGACGCCCCGCCCCGGAGGGTGCGGGGCGGTGGCGTGGAGGGCGGGCACTTCGCGGCGTGGCATTCAGCAGCCTCCCTTCGCTCTTGCTCTGGCTTGGGAAAGTCGCTCTGCCTTCAGGGCGTCCTCTGCAGGGGGCACGGTAACGGCTGGTGTCCTAGAGTTGTGCAGCTGCGATGAGGTAACGTGGCCGACGCGCTGGGCTCCTTGGCTGCTACGTTACGGAATTCTTGTCCTCTTCCTGCTTCCTTTCTCCTCCCCTCTGGTTCTTTTCTCCAACACCGCGCGGTGGCCCAGTCCTCCACTCTCTTAAGTGCCACTCTGATCCCCAGTTCCAGCTTCGGACTGGTTGGAGGTAGAGAGAGGAAATGTGCAAGTGTTTTTGCGTGTTAACCCCTAATGATTGCATTTTATTTTTAATCCTTGGTGAATTTTTAATGTGTGTGTGTGTGTGGTGTTGGGGATTAAACCCAGGGCCTTCTCACTGAGCTATATGCCAGCCCTTTTATGTATTTTGTTTTGATTTTAGATCTTGCTGAGTCACTAAATTGCCCAGACCTGCTCAAACACTCCTGCCTAAGACTTCGAGAGTAGTGGGATCACAGATTGTCACCATACCCCACTTCTTTTAACATTGTCTATATTAGTGTTTCACAAAAATTGTGTTGTGACATAGGTTGTTCTTACCTCCCTTTTAGTGTAATCTGCCTCATCTGAAGACCTAGATATTTTTAGTCCCACACCCACCAGTTTTTTGTTGTTGTTTTTGAGGTTTTTTGTTTTTTGTGTTTTTGGAGACAGCGTCTTACCATGTAGTCCAGGCTGGCCTCGAACTTGCAGTGATATCCTGCCTCAGCCTCCCAAGTGCTGGGATTGCAGGGGTGCTCTACCACATCCTGTTCCACCAGTTGTTTTGACTGCGGAAAATTTCCCATCTCCAAACGGTAACCTTCTGGAGGGGTCAAATCGCGCTTACCTATGTTTAGAGGTGTTTGTGTAAATTGTTATGATGAGGTGTAGATATAAAGTAGGATTACTGTTAGTAGGTTGTGATCTGATGGTGCTGATGGGAAATTATGGTTTTTCTAAAACAGTGCTGGTATGCAAATTAATGAGGTACTGAGTTTCCAGCACTCCAGGCTCCTCTTCAGATAGGTTTCCTGGTTACTGAGGGCTGTCTGCTTCTTGAAAAAGCAAATGTCTTCTCTGTCCTACTTAGCTGAGCCCAGCCCTGTACAGACCCAGCCTCACACCCACAGAATCCCTGCAGTACTTGGCTCTGGATTCAGGTTTTGCCCGTATGGGGCTTTATTCTCCCATTCACCCCCTACACCCTTTCTTCATTGATGTAAACAAGTCAGATTGCATCTTACCCAAATTGTGTAGGGGTCTGCAGTAAGAATGGTAATAAGGATTTCCAATAGCTATCTTCCTGGTATTTCTGTTCTTTCTTTTTTTCTTTTTTTTTTTTTTTTGAGACGGGGTCTCACTATATAGTTGAGACTGACCTGGAACTCACTATGTAGCCCAGGCTGGTCTCAAACTCACCGTGATCCTCCTGCCTCAGCCTCCCGAGTGCTGGGATTACAGGCGTGCACCACCACACCCGGCTTTCTGTTCTTTCTAATAACTCTGCGAAGGGCGTCTTTTACCTGTTCTTACAGTGAAGCAGATGAGGCACTCTGAAGTTAAGTAACTTGCACAAGACAATGGAAAGGCCAGCCCAGGCTTGGTTCAAGCGTTTCTTGACAAGCATTAACCTCAATCATGTTAATTAATTTTTCTTTTCTTTTCTTTTTTTTTTTGAGACATGGTCTCACTACGTAGTTCAAACTGCCCTGGAACTCACTAGGTAGCAGAGGCTGGTCTCGAACTCGCAGTGATCCTCCTGCCTCAGCCTCCCAAGTGCTGGGATTACAGGTGTCGCCACTCCACCTGGCTAATTAATTCTAATTATTAACTGTTGTACCAAGCCAGGATCTTTTAACATCTGTTCTCTAGCTTGGCAGAAAAAAAAAATTGTTTTCTTTTACTTGAAATTGCTGAAGACAGCAATTCTTCTCCTAGTTATGTTTCTATTTTGGTTTCTTCATATACACATTTTGCAGGGTTTAGAATATTGTTACCTATTTGCAGTGTTCATTCTTCTCTGCAGCACCCTTAAGGATGTGTTCCAGTTCGTCAGAGTCCTTTCCAGCCAGTGCCTGGAGCTGAGATAGTAGTTAATCAGATAAAGAGCACTGACCTCCTTCACGTTATGGGTTCTGCTTCTGTGTATGTAACCAAAGATTGTGACTCCTTTGGGGGAGGGTTGTGGACATCTGTCAAGTTGTGAGACACTGCTGCCATTGATCCTGTTGATGTGTGAAACCTTAAGATGTTTTCCCAAGAACTGAAGTCCTAACTGGGGTAAATTTGGTTTTTCAAATCATGGTTTCCTAGATGCCATGCTTGATTTTGTCACTGTTTGCTCTGTATTGAAGGATTTTGATCCGTTCTTTAAACTATTGTCTGAATCACTTATTTAGCACTCATCATGATTCTAGAAATTTAAACATCTTTATTTTATATTACTGTCTGATGGAGATTCAAAGGTGAATTGGATCAAGTTCCAGTCCACACAGATTTGGTCTAGCTCCTAGAAGTGTGAAGAAATACCTGGGTAGAAGCCCTGTGAACTAGCCAAGGTGCCATTTAGTTTGGACAGCCTCCACTGAGTCTGACTGACTAAGTGCTAGCCTTAGTCTGTGGAGCACTGAGTCTTCATTCTGGGCTGTACCTTGGCTCAAAATTTGCCTAATTGTAGGCTTAAAGGGCAGGGTGGTAGTTAACTCCACCCTTGAGAAATAAAAGCACTAAGTGAACTTTCATTAGGTTTACATTTACTGGCTTAAAAGAGAGTGAGGAAGTAACCCAGAGTTCACAGTAACATTTTTCTTCCATGGCTTTTTTTTGGGGGGGGGTAGTCTGTTTCCTAGTAGTGATTAGCAGCAAAACTTTTAGAAGAAAGGAACATACATTCTTTTCTTGAGATTAGCAAGAGGTGATGGGGTGACTGCCTTGCTTCAACCAAGATCTGATGGAGGGGATCAAAGAGGCTCTAATGTGAGTTGGAAGCAGAGAAGAGGAAATGGTTTTCATCCTAGGGTATGCCCTATAGAAAGAAGAGAGTGAGAAGCTGTCTTTGTCCTAAGCTGTTATGGAGCTGTTCTGGATCTGGGGCAGAGAACTGGCCGAGACAGCATGGTCAGGCTCAATGTAAATGCTTATATGGGGAAGTTCAGAAGAGGGGAAGCCTGCCATAGCCTGTGTTGGGAGAGGTCAGGGAGGGGCTTTAAAGTGGCAGAAATTGAGTCCCACAGGACAGTTAACTAGGGGAGAAGACAGACAACACACTGAGTATAATCTGCTACTGAGGGGCGAGATTGGGGATCTGCACTTGGTGGTGTACTGCAGGAAAAGGACTTTGTGGGGAGCAGGCAGGAGATGCTGTTGGGCCACGTGGGCAGAGTGACATCTTTGCACCGTGCTGAGACATGAGTGTCAGTGCAGCTGTCTCCTCTTCTCCTCCTTAGGTCCTTGAGGACAAGCACTCTAGTAGGTGATACACAGTAAAGGTTAGGTAAACTGGTTTTGAACTCTCAAGATTTGTGTGGTAAGCAGGCTCCTTTTGAAAAGGAAAATAAGCAACACAAGATTAATTGGGATGAGGGTGTCTTAAGTACAGGTAATGGTCTCCCAAAAGTCCAGGGAGACTGAACAGAGCCAGGAGATGGCAGCATTAGCAACAGCCAAGCCCTCCCCCCCATGTTCTCGCCTCACCTGCTCCATTCTCTTTTCCTCTGTTGGCTTTCTCTGCTTTTGTTCCTTGTCTTGAATCCCTCATGGCTTTTCTTGCCTGGGCCCCACATAGCTATCCTAGCTCCTGAGTCTGTGGTCTTTTCCTTGACTCAGTGAAATGATGAGGGAGAAATTGGCTCATGTTTTTTAGCAAGGCCCTGAGGCATAGATTACTGGCCAAGCTGGACTGCTCTTTTAGGTACTGGGAGTTGAACCCAAGGCCTTCACATTGAGCTACAACTCTCTAGCCCTTTCCTTAATTTTTTTATTTTGAGACGGCTCAGTCACTAAGTTGCCCAGGCTGGACTGGACAGAACTTGTGATTCTCTTGCCTCAGCCCCCCAGAGTGCTAGGATCACAGGTGTGCACCACCACTCCCAGCTAAAGCTATAGTGCCCTTTGGTCGTGTCTTGGCCAGGGTGAGTATGGGTGGACCCTGACACAGGGCACTAGCAGCTGAATGTCTCCTATGGCTCAGGAGATGATGTTTGCAGAACAGGCACCCCAGCACGTGGCCATCTCGTCCTCCAAAGTATTTATTGCATGCTATGTGTGTATTAGGCACTGTGGAATTCATGGGGGAAAGGAGAAAAACCTACAGATGTAAAATATTCTATGACGTGTTTCTATAACTGTATAGGATAATGTTTGAGTTGCAATTGGAGCATTTCTGGTACCTGGAGCCAGAAAGATTGTTCGGGAGAAAATCCATGATGAGTGTGAATGGTCCAGCTCAGTCTTTCATTTTTCCTTCTCATTTGACATTTATTCAGCATCTTTTTGTCCTGAGTGCCAGGAATGCTGAGATGATTTAACGTACTGCTCTGAGGAAACTCTGCACTCAGTACAAAAACACAGGTACTGGGAGTTGAACCCAGAGCCTTCATGCTGAGCTACGTCTCCAGCTCTTCTTGAGGAATGACACCTCAGGCTGTAGGGTGGTGTTTGCAAGTGACCCTGACGTGGGAACACAGGTTGCTGGGGGAGTCAGATTCTAGAAGAACTTAACGTGTCATTGTACTTTATCCCGGAGTGTTGGCATCAAAGGGCGAGTTTCAGGGTGAAGTGAAATGATGAGACTTAGGTGTAGAAAGGTAATTCTAGTGACGTGTGAAGAATGGTAAAGAGTAGAGATTGATGTCAGGGAACCTGTCTCGGGATTTATCATAATTAAAATAACAAAAGGGGGCCGGAACAGAACAGTGAGGAAGGCTAGAGGAGGTGGTAAGAATTGGCAGTGTAGACAGGTGCGTTTTTAACTTTGATGCATAGCGTCCCAGAGTTATTTAATGCACAGACTTCTCATTATTTGCTGTTTTTTTGTTTTGTTTTGTTTTTAAGGAAGAAAACATCCCCTAAGCTGTGTTTGTTGTGTGTCTCGTTAGAAAATCAAAAGACAGTGCTTAGTGGAGTTTACAAGGTAGCTGATGGGTGTTTCATTTTATTTAACCTTCTCATTTGTGTGTCTACGTTCTTTTGTGCTCTCATCTCAGATGCTTCTCAGACCTGTGTTTTGAGTGCCTTACATGATAGTTGGTATGACCTGACTTTGTTAGGTACGAGGAATCAACTTAGTCATGGAATAACACTGTTTTGCTGTCCCATTCAGCTTGAAAGATGATGACAGTGGAGACCACGATCAGAATGAAGAAAACAGCACACAGAAAGATGGTGAGAAGGAAAAAACAGAAAGAGACAAGAGTCAGAGCAGCAGTAAAAGAAAGGTGTGCTTTGTTCTTAAGACTCAGTTATCCTGTGAATTTGTTTATCTGGAAGATACCAAGTTAATTTTACCGTGTCCTGTTTCATAGTATCTGGGTTTGTTTTTGTTTTTTGTTTTGTTTTGTTTTGGGGTTTTTTTTTTGGTACCGGGGATTGAACTCAGGTCTTTGCGCTGGTGAGGCAGGCCACCGAACCGCTGAGCTAAATCCCTTGCCCTGTTTTTTGTTTTGTTTGTTATTTTTAGAGACAGAGTCTCATTTTGTAGTTCACACTGTTCTTGAACTCACTTTATAGCCCAGGCTGGCCTCTCACAGCAATCCTCCTGCCTCAGCTTCCAGAGTGCTATGCCACCAAGCCCAGCTTTGAGGGTGTTTTGTTTCGGTTTTGGTATCAGGGATCGAACTCAGGCCCTTGCGCTAGCAAGACAACCACTGGACTGAGCTAAATCCCTGGCACTTCATTTTTTGTTTTGAGACAAGGTCTCACTGTGTATTTCAGGCTGGCCTTGAACTCACTATGTAGCCCAGGCAGGTTTTGAACTTGTGACAATCCTGCCTCAGCCTCCTAAGTGCTGGGATTACAGGTGTGCACCACCACACTCAGCTGGTTTTGTTTTCAAAAAATGATTGTGGAATCGATGGAGTCATTGTGGGCCTTAAACCTTTGTTCTTGCCATAGGATCTTAAGATGCTGGCTCACTTACAGCATTTTCCTTTCTTGGATAGAGAAGGTTAATCCTGGCGCTCAGCTAGGCTGGTACCTATTTCAGAAGCTGCTGCTGAGTATATCAAATCATACAAGTCCCTTAAACTTTTAGGCGCTCTTTTTTTTTTTTTTTTTTTTTTTTTGGTACTGGGGATTGAACTTAGGTCCTTGCACTTGCGAGGCAGGCAGCGGAACCACTGAGCTAAATCCCCGGCCCAAACTTCTAGGCTCTTAAATCAATAATAGTCTCGAGTTGAAAGGAACTTGGAAAAGAGAAAATTTAGGGAATGAGAGATAAGTGAATTGATTTTTCCCTTGAGACATTAAGGAAATAATTATTTACCCCAAGTGTAAGCATTTTCTGCTAGGTGCTAAGAAGCCTGCAGGTGAATGTGCCTTCAGGTCAAGGACCTTCATCTACTAATAGCCATAAAAACAGTCGCTGGCCCTTACTGAGGACTCACTCTGTGCCAGGCACTAGGAACTGTACATCTATAAATTTATTTGATTCTAGCTAGGCGTGGTGGCACACCCTGTAATCCCAGCACTCTGGAGGCTGAGGCAGGAATACCACTGTGAGCTACACCACAAAGTGAGTGAGACCCTGTCTAAAAAAAAAAAAAAAAAAAAAGTTTTTTACTTGATCCTCTCAGCACCCTTTTTTGGGATGGTTATTATTTTTCCTGTTCGCAGGTAAGAAGCTGAGGCACATGCAGGATAAGCAGCCTGCTACTCTTATGTGACAAGAGTGTCATGGAGGAGGCAGTGCTTGGCTGGGTGGGCATACATTGCTGGGATAAGGTGGAAATGCCTGTGACATGCTGGGCATGACAGTATACTCTGGCAGGCTGAGGGAGGAGGAGTACAAGTTCGAGCCTAGTCTGGGTCACTTGGGCTGAGAAAGTAGCTTAGGGTGAAGGCTGTGGATTAAATCCCTAGTGTCCCCCACACCCATAGATAAAAATATTAAAATAATGCCCATGGTATGAGGTAGAAAGCTGTAAAAGTTAGGAGAACACAGAGAAAGTGTTCCAGAGGTTTAGAATCATTGAGGAAATGGACTGTATGAGCAGACTCTTGGCATGATGCAAGTAACTAAGGTGGTATTCTAATTGTGGAAGTGATAAAAGTGAGACTAAAACATCTCTCAGTCTCAGAGCATGTGACAAATGCCTAGGGCTTCACCTACCTTATTTACTTCCCAGGCTGTTGTCCCCGGACCAGCAGAGCATCCCTTGCAGTACAACTATACTTTCTGGTACTCCAGGAGGACCCCAGGTCGTCCCACCAGCTCCCAGAGCTATGAACAGAATATCAAGCAGATTGGCACATTTGCCTCTGTGAGTACTTGATGGTTTAGTGGACTGTGCCTTGGTGTAGGGTACTCATGCCTGCGTTTTTGTTTTGTTTTTGGTACCGGGGATCGAGCTCAGGACCTTGTGCTTGCGAGGCAGGAGCAGTGCCACTGAGCTAAATCCCCAAACCTTTATGCCTGTGTTTTTATCAGTCTGTTTACCTGCTCTCCTGATAACCTGCTCAACATTCTGGTTTTCTTACTCAAGTAACCTCAGTCCCATGATCAGATTTGTTCATTCCTCAGTTTCTCGTTGGACATCCATGGTTAACAAGTATGTATCAACAAAATGAGAAGGGTGGTTTTGAGCAGAAGGACATAAACATAGTGGGTGTGTATTTGTGTTTTTTAAAGTAGATACTGAGTCTTAATGTGCAGAGTCACATGGGGGTACAAGATTTTGTAGTATGTGGTATCTACATGAAGTTGGACAGTAAGTTTGAAAGCAAAAATCTGAAATTTTCTTTTGTACTTAAGAGCCTCCTGTTAAGATTTTGGCTAAGATATGATTATGCGTAAAGCAGCATGAGTGTTTCTGTGTTCAGAAGAAGAATGGAGTCTCCAGTAATTGCTTAGTGGGTACCGTCATACAGTGTTCAGGCTTTGCTTATCTCCACCCAAGTGACTAGTGTGTGAACCTGGAGTGCTGACTGCAGTCAACACCTCTCTCATTTGGTAAAGATTATTACTCACCTTTGTGTGCTTGTGCATTTTCCTCTCTGGACAGGATCAGATCCAGATTTGTCACTTTCTTGAACTTATTATTTGCCCTACTTGAAACACAGAATCTAGAAAAGAATATAGTATAGTTACAGTAAGTATTACAGTAAGCTAATAAAGAGGAGAAGGACACAGTAAGTAGTGGATTTATTTTGTTTCCTTCAGTTGTTATAATAGCCTTATGGGCTCACATTTTACAAATGGAGAATGTGAGGTTCCAAGTCCGCCACACATAAGTTGGGACTGAGCATCAAAACTCAGGTGAGATGGACTCTCACAGAGTCAGATTCCAAAGCCCGACTGTGTGGCACAAGGTTACAGTATTTATTTTCCATTTCTTATTAATCAGATACACATATTGAACTGGTAATAAGATTGTCAGCTTAATGTGAGGTTAGTACCCCTGCTTTGCTGCATTGATAGAGTTTCATTCAGCCCAATGCAAAGGCCTTGTTTGGTTGACAGGCTCTGCTGCCTTATACTTTAGATTTGTTTGAAATATTCCAAATAGCTTGTGCATTGGTGCATACTTGATTTAAGAAATGCTTGATAAGTTTCTAAAAATAAGGTTCTAAAAAGAATTAAGGCAAAAGCCTGCTTTGGGGAACAGGGCAGGCCCACGGATTTTTGATACAAGGTAGACAGTGAGTGGAGCTGCAGGAAGAACACTGTCTTAGTTACTTTGTTATGGCTGGGCAGAGTACCCAACATCCGCAACTTAAAAGAGGAGAGCTTTATTTTGGCTCACATTTTCAGTTCATGGTTGGTCTCCTCCGAGGCGGAAATGGCATGGTGGAAGAGCCCAGTGGGAAGGCAGCTGCTCATCCCATGGCACCCAGGAAGCAGACGGAGAATGGAGGAGCTGGGAGGGAGATACCTGTTACTAGGTTACGTTCCCAGTGACCTGCCTCCATCCAGCTGCCCCGCCTCCTAAAAGCTATAGTGACACCACAATCCAGTCACCTGCTGAACACACCACATCTGAACATAGGAGACTTTTAGGGGACAGTCTAGATGTAAACCAGAGCAGCATGACTGGAGCACCCTTAGGATTCTGAGGAAAAAGAGTCCACCTTGAAGAAAGTTGCCTTGGAACATATGGGCTTAAAATTCAATTTGAAAGATTTGAACAGATGATAAAAAGGAATTCTTGGTGGAGGAAATAGTAGAATTAAACTTGTAAAATATCTATGCCTAGGGCTGGGGATTTAGCTCAATGGGACCACTGCCTGCCTCACAAGTGCAAGGGCCTGACTGAGTTCAATCCCTGGTACAAAAAAAAAAAAAAAAACCCACTAAAATATCCATGTGTTTTTTGTTTTTGTTTTTGTTTTTTTGGTACTGGGGATCAAACTCGACCTTGTGCTTGTGAGGCAGGCGGTAGCACTGCTGAGCTAAATCCCTAGCCCATACCTTTCTGATATTCCTGAACCCATTGCAAAAGTTGTGACTACCTGCTCCATTGGAACGCTAGACAGCACTGGTAGAATGCCAGTCATGTTCAAAACAACTGGTTAGACCCTTGAAAGTCAAAGAAGAAACTGGATTGGCTGCTATGATTTTATAAAGGATTCTGTTAGATTACCTTGGAATAACTAGGAGTACGGTATTTCTAATATTTTTCTTTCCCTCTCATACAACAAAATCACATATGAATTTACCCAGCTTGTACAAAGGGAGTTTGTGTTTTGTTTTTCTCTCCTTGTGGCAGTATGTTAAAGTGCTTTGTCATCAGCACATGCACGTGTTGATGTACTTTCGGCACTCACTGGATGCGTGACAGCATTAAAAGTCTGATCATGGAGTTGAAGACATCAGGAAGTGGCTCTCAATACCAGATTCCTTACAGAGAAGTAATTCCAATCAGAAGCAAACAATGGCAGTTATGTATCATATTGATAATATGGAAGGAAAAAAAGAATTCCATTGTGAAACCTTTTTTCAAATCCGAAGTAGCATTTCCCAGTGTTTCTTAATTCTTGAATTAAATAGCATCTAAAGGTTCTTGAAATCAGGGTCACTAAGAAGGCCACATCTTGAAGTGGGAAGGGCCCTGGCCTGGGGATCCCAGGGCCAGTCTCTTCTGGGACTTGACTGTGCTGGAGCAAATCCTGAAACTTCTCACTGTATTGTGACAGTCCACGTGCTTTCTGAGGTCCTTTCTTTACCTCATATTCCAAGTCTGTGAACTTTAATTTTTTGTTTCAGTACAGAAGAACCTGTTCAGTTTAATGATATTTCTTATGTTTTTAAAGTTTTATTCCTCTTGCGGGTTGAGGACACAATAGTGCAGTTTGGCTGTAAGATCTGGGGAGATCCAAGTGTTAAGTGATTCTTTCCTGGAAAGTTTGGTGGACTTCCTCCCTACCACCCCCTCCATTCCTGCTTCACAGTGAACCGCTGGTTCTGGTGGATGTTCACCAATTGTTAGAATGGACATTGTGTTCCAATGTCCAGTGTCACTGTAGGGACAGGGATTTAGCTCAGTGGTTCTAGTGCCTGCTTCACAAGCACAAGGACCTGAGTTTGAGCCCCATTACCAAGAACAAAAATACCAAGTCACTGTGCACAGTTAAATGGAGCAGTTAGCCTGAGGCCCTGCATTGAAGTCTTACAAACGGCCTTGTTCTGGACTTCTCCCCTGTTCCTCTTTTAGAGAGAAACTGCTTCATGCTGCTTCATGTGGCATAAGATTAGGTTCTCCTTGTTTGCTGCCCAGATTGAGAAGTATGACCAGAATCTCTGCCTGTACCCATTTCCCACTACCTTACTGTGCTGTCTTGCCTCATGTTGATTTTGTCTCCTTGGCACAGTGTTGGGGAATATATTGAGCAGCTTCTCCTCAGACTGTCCCTTGTATTTATTTCTCTTCCCTCCTGGCCAGCAGTTAGAGGGGGTCCTCTGCAAATACAGAGAGATATTGTCTTCTCCCAAGGCACTAATGAGAAAAATGGGGCCAGTGTGATGACTATAAGTGAGCATCCATTTTTTTTTAACTTTTTTTTTTTTGTGTATGTGGTGTTGGGGATTGAACTCAGGACCCTATGCTTGGGAGGCAGGTGCGGCACTACTGAGCTAAATCCCTGGAGCATACATTTAATAGAAAAGTAGAAGTCTAGTTTTCTAATAGAATTTGAAGAAAGGAAAAGGAGAAAAATAATTTTTCTAAGGAAAGATTTAGGCTGGGCATGGAGGCACACGCCTGTAATTCTAGCACTTGGGAGGCTGAGGCAGGAGGATTGCCCAGAGTTCAACCCTGTCTAAAAAAAAAAAGATTTACACCGTCGCCCTGAGACACTGAGTCCTGTTCATTTTGAGCTGTCCTATCCTTAGCAACGGTGCTTTAGTATCAAGTAGTACATGTGGTTGATTCTGTCACTTAATGTTCAGCGACTAAATAGAACTAAAATGCACTAACACTGTACTTGCTAGTTAAATAGTCTTTATTCCGGAATTGATTTGGTTCCAAACACTGTATTCAGGCTCAGGAGGTGTGGCACTTAACAGAGTCTAGTCAGTATCACACAAAACACTGTCCCCCAACTGTGTGTGACGATTCCCCTGCACGTCCAGTAGGAAAGGTGTATCCATGTAGCCGAGGCTAGCATTTCTTACCCAAAGAGTTTATTCTTATGTCGCCAATAATACATTCTTCTCTGTCCAACTATGTAACATGCATTTCCTCTAATAAATTTTCCTTTTCACATGAAGAGGAGAGCTGTAATGTGCTTTCCATGCTTATGTTCCTAAATAAATATCAGACCTTCTGGTGCATTCAACAAAAAAAGAAAGCTACATCCTTAGCACTTTCGGGTCTTCTCTCTGCAGGTGGAGCAGTTCTGGAGGTTTTATAGCCACATGGTACGTCCTGGGGACCTGACAGGACACAGTGACTTCCATCTCTTCAAAGAAGGAATTAAACCCATGTGGGAGGTGAGGACTGAGGGCCCTTGCCCTTTCCTTTCCTTTCCATATATTTTATATACACACACACACACACACACACACACACACATACACATACACACACACACGCACACACGCACACATATATATGTCTTTTTGGTACTAGGCTTGTGCTTGCAAGGCAGGTGGTGGCACCACTGAGCTAAATCCCCAGCCCAGCCTTCCCTCCCCTCCCCTCCCTTTCCCTCTCTTCTCTTCCCCTCCCAGGGTTAAAACTATTTTAAAGTCTTCACAACTGCAACACTATCTGGATGCTCTGGTGCACGCCTATAATCCTAGCACTCAGGCAGCTGAGGCAGGAGAATTGCTGCAAATTCTAGGCTAGCCTGGGCTACATAATGAACTCAAGGCCAGCCCAAACTTTGTAATGAAACCCTGTCTCAAAAACAAAAAATAACTGCAACACCAGGGTATATCCTGGGAATCTAGACCCCTGGGGAAAAGCACTAATGCCTTTGTGTGCCTGCCTAGGTTGGTGCTAGGTGTTTTAATGATAATGTTACCCCTCACATGTTAGCATTACAGCACTAAAGAGTTGTGTTGTTTTTTTTTTAAATTGACCTGGTTCCTATAAAATTCATTTGTGTGTGCAATATATTTATGTAGAGGTTGGGAAATTTAACTCAATGGTTCCAGCGCCTGCCTCACAAGGACCTGAGTTCAATGCCCAGTACAAAAAAAAAAATGTGTGTGTGTGTGTGTGTGTGTGTGTGTATGGTGTGTGCATATGATTAAAATGTTCAGAAAATAAAAGCAGTAAATAGAGACCTGAAACTGAGCTCTCTGATCTCTTTACAGGGCCATTCCTGTGATCTAGTGTAGAGTTATCTTTTCTGATGCCAGAGCATTTTCTGGAAGACAAATGTGGTCGTATCCACTTCTGTTTTATGTGGTTTCCATCGCTTCCATGATCTTGTATGAAATTTACCTTCCAAGCCTCATTTCCCATCATCTCTAAATCCTCCCTTCCTTGCAGTGAGACCCCCGTTTGCATCTCCCTGCGCCACAGTTTGTGCACAGGTGTGCTAGAATGCCCTCACATGCTTTCCCTGCTGGCCCATTTCCTGCTGTCATGTTCTGTTTAACCCGCTGTGTGCCTCTCTCATGGCAGCTCTAGTCAGTCTACAGGGCTCATTACTTTCTTGTCTGTCTCTGCTACTCTGGATCTGAGTACAGATTGGGCCTTCTTCGCTATACTTGGTACATGGTGATACTCGGTGAACTTTTAACAAATGAAGTGATAGTCTCTTTGAAATCTGCCATTACTTTGACTCCTAAAGTAGCTCTGATAAACAGTATTACTTGTTTAGTTTTTTGGGGGGATTAAACCGGGGATTAAACTTGGGTCCTTGCACTCATGAGGCAGGCGCTGGAACCGCTGAGCTAAATCCCCAGCCCAAAGAGTCTCTATTTAGCCTTCTTTTAAAGTGGTGGGTGCTAAAGAAACATTTTTCTTTTTGTTCCCAATTTCTCCTCACCCTAGTCCTACAATTTTTTCTATAAGTTGCATAATCCCAATAGTCAAGGATTTCTTGGTGTTTCACTGCTTTAATGTAGGAGAAGCAGCTGTGAAACAATGCCTAAACTTGAACATTTCCTGTCTTTTTATAGGATGATGCAAATAAAAATGGTGGCAAGTGGATCATTCGGCTACGGAAGGGCTTGGCCTCCCGGTGCTGGGAAAATCTCATCCTGGCTATGTTGGGGGAACAGTTCATGGTTGGGGAGGAGATCTGTGGGGCTGTGGTCTCTGTCCGCTTCCAGGTAAGCACCCCAGGCCAACCTGTGTTCTTGCATTGCCCTTGCTCTCCTCACTGCCTCTGGTTTGCTTTGCTGATGCCTTTGTTTCCCCATAGGAGGACATCATTTCCATATGGAATAAGACTGCCAGTGATCAAGCAACCACAGCCCGAATCCGGGACACACTTCGGCGCGTGCTTAACCTACCTCCCAACACCATTATGGAATACAAAACTCACACCGACAGCATCAAGTACGTGTTGGGGGTGCTGGGGGGGACAGGCCCCTGGACTTAGCAGAAGTAGCTCTGTAGTTGGGCCCAGAGGTTCATGGTCATTCAGGAGATTAGCAGAGGAGACAAACCAGACAGGCAGCACCTTCATGGCTGCTGGCTACTCTGGACAGGTGTTGTTGGCGAGGCTCCCTGCCTCCCTGCATCTCAGGGTGCTTTGGGGCACAGAGCCCTTCCACAGAAACCCAGTTACACTGCCTGCGCTGGCTTCGTTTCTGCAGGCTCTCTTGTCTTTCCCCTGCTAACCACTATCTGAAATGAAAGGCAGAGCGCTTTTCTTTATTTGGCTGGTTTTTTAAAGATAATTTCCCTGAACAATAAGGTCCTCTTCCCTGCCCCTCCCTCACCTCCCTTTTGCATGTCTGTTTAACCTGTTAGTTTCAGTCTGTTTTCTTGTCCTGGAAAATTGGCTCCTTAACAGGCCTCATGACTCCATTTCCTCGTGTGCAGAGCCAAGGTTGTAGAGAGGCAGGGCAGTATATGAGGGAAGCAAATCGAAGGGAAAAGCTTTGAGGACTTGGACAGTAGAGGTCTCTGTCCTTAGTGTGAGTCACTGGCAAGCTTGCTCCTTCAGTGATCAGGTGTCAGAAACAAGCGCAGATTGTTACAAGAAGGTTGCGGGAGTGATCACGATCACCAGGTCGTCTGCACAGTGGAGTCAGAGTCAGCCAGCTGGGAGTCAGACTGAGGTCTGGTTGTCTCCTGTGGCCCCTGAATCAGTATATGACTTTGGCCAGTCCCTCTGCAGCTCTGCTTCAGTGTCCCCAGCTATAACCTGGGGACAATAATGCTTTGCCTACAAAGATTGTGGGGAGGCTGATGTAGACTTTGTGACTGAGGATCCTCAGGGAGGAAGCTCTTAGAGGGCCAAGTATTATGTAACTGTCATCACCACCGTTAGTAATAATGTCACCATCGTGCGGTTCTTACTAAAGACTAGTAGTGAGCCCAGTGACTGTGTTCAGCAGCAGACCATTTGGGAATCTCTGTCCCATACATTTGTGGGTAGAGTTTGCTTCTACCAGTTTGCGCCAGCCTGATAGGGTGTGCTGCCATGAGAGTTGGTCCATAATCGTATGGCTGGCTGTGACCATCATAGCCAGCAGCAGTCACCTTAGCCAGTCCTGGTGCTCACCTTGGCAGCCTGTGTTAGCACCATCTTCTCAGGCACATCTGCCTTACTCTCTGTTCTGGGCCAGTTGTAGTTTCTGCCCTCCTGCCAGGTTCTGTCCAGGCTGGAAAGACCTAGTTCTAGAACTCTTGTTTTCAAGATTCTGAGGTTTGCCCCACCCCCACCCCACCAACTCAGAGCCAGCTTTGCATGTGGGTAAGAAAGGGAAAGAGGTATTTTTCATCAGCTCTCCCCTCTCTGCTGTTCTACCTTCCTGATCCCCTGAGGTGATTTGTCTTGACTGTTGTAGAAACATGCACAAGGCCTTCCAGAGTCCAGCAGAGCCTGTGGCCCTTTTCTTAGACTGATAGAGGGCTGGCCTGCTATGCTGCCTTCCCCAGAGTGTGTCTCTGGGACTCCATCCCTGCAGCCATGGGGTTAGAACACCGTTCTCCAGACCCAGACACTGCCTTCCCTCGTGTCCCCTTCTCTTTCCTCTCCCAATGAGCCACCTTTTGCACTTCCACTAGAATGCCAGGCAGGCTGGGGCCCCAAAGACTCCTTTTTCAAAACCTCTGGAAGCCGCGGTTGAATGTGCCGTGACCCTCTCCCTCCCTGGATGGCACCATCATTGAAGCTGGCATCATCGGAGTCCCTTGTTCTGTTGGTGTGCCACCTGGAAGACCCTTCTGTCCTGGACGAGAGGAATGGAAGAGCATGTTATGCTTTGAGAACAGGCTGACGCGCTGCAGCCATGACAACAGCTGAGATCACAAATAAACGGTGCTAAACTAGCTTGTCTCATGCTCTTGCTCTTTATGGTGCATCAAGGTGTGGCCTTTGACCGACTGTCACCATATTAAGGGATGGCATGGACTTCTCCACGAGGGCTGTCTGGGGAATGCAGCCTCATTTCCAAGAGCCCACTGTGTAGTGTCGTGTGGTATTTGGTCCCAGGACTGCTGAGGTCTGATGTAATGAGGTGACATGTAGCTCTCAAAAAGACTCCATTCCATGGTACTTGAATTTAGTTCCCATCTGGTCATGCTGATGACCAGCCTGGAGTGGTTTCTGATTTTTAATTCTGCTTGAAAGTTTGTGAAGCTTGGGAAGGAGGATCCTTGGCCTTGGCTTTGCTGATTTCCATTTGCCTTTACTTCAGAGAAATCTCTTGCTTAGGGGTAAAGCTCTGCTTCTGTCCGTGTGTGGCCACACACACATAGCGTCCTTGCTTTGTGCTAACGGTGTTCTTGCTGGTGCCAAAGCTTCCCAGCCCCCAAGCTCTTGCTGAACAACCCCCTCCCCGCCGCTTTCCCCATGAAGCCAAATCATCCTGCTCTTGGAGCTGGCGTGCGCACACCATCTCAGAGGTATGGCCCGCCTTCCCCTTGCCCAGGCCTTGGTCGGTAGGGATGGACCTTCGCCTCTGGAGGCGGGACTGGACACGCCAGCCTCCTGTGGGCCTTGTGGCTTTGGCTTGTGCACACTGCAGCTTGCCTTTTGGTGCCTAACCTGCATGAAGAGCTTCTGCAAGCCTTTTCACTTAGGGTTTTCTTAGGCGCCACCACCCAAACCATAGGTAATTGTTTTTGCATGTCTTGGGTGGGCTTCCTCAGGATCTGTGGAAGTAGCTGTGAGGCTGCATTCTCCCCAATGGCAGCAGCACCGGTGCCTATACCTCCCTGACTTACCCCAGTCTCCATGGGGTCCCAGATCTTAGCAAAACAACTAAAACTAGCACCCTGGGCTCAGCATTGTGGGGATATTTGTGTCACTGTTTCTTTGTTTATTGCATCCCCCAGATTGATTGAAGTACTTAGGAAATGAGAGATTTGCAGGAAAATGGAAAGATGCATTCTCTTTAGCATCTGTCAAAAAAACCTCCTCTGGTCCTTGCCCTGCCTTCCACTGTCCTGTCACATGCATTGACCTAAACTTTAGCCGCATTGTACCTGCTCCGGGGATAAGCTTGATGTCACCTTCCAGAGTAAGAGTCAATCAGGGAGCACCAGGTTGACCTTGAAGCCCCTCTACCCTGGCCATACATGAGCTGAAATCAGAACTAGTTCTGCCTTAAGTCTGTGCCCATGGCTGTTCCATTCCGTGGCCCTGTTTGATCCCAGGGGCAGCAGTCATTAGGACTTGAGAATTCCAAGGGACCTGGAGACAGCCAACAGTACTTCTCCCAAGGTCCTCTGGAGATGAGGACTGCTGAAAGGGTAAGGGCATGTTTTGAGGAGGGGCTTATGTCCTGTCCAGCAGTGTTCCTCCAGCTTGCTGTGTCTCTGTCATTTCCAGTATCCTTTACCTGTTCATCTTTCCAGCCTTCTATCAGCCACTGCTGTGATCTTTTCCTGCTGTACCCCTGAGCCAGGAGAGGTCCTCTGCCACACAGAAGGGGTGATGGGTGCTTTGCTGTGGAGGGCTTTTGTCTGAGTTTATTTTTGGCCATCCCGGAAAACCTGGAGCTTGGGAATTGAGGTTTTGTTCATGTCATGGCTCCTTTTAATAAGACAGATCAAATTTGAGTTTTCATTGATTTGGGTCCTTACAAGTGTCAAGTGACTTGCTGTGTCCTCTGCTTTGAGGAGAGACGTCATGGTAGTCAGTTATGGGGCCAGAGCTGGGCACAGGCCATCTAAAACAGCACTGTCTTGCAAGGAAACTCCTCCAGAATAGTCCCATTGGTTCCTGCATGCCTGTGGCCTGGAATGGAAGAGGGGAAGACAGGCCCAGCTTCCCATATAGACCGTGGTGTGGGCAAGCCTGGCCAGCCTTCTCTGCAGTGAAGTGAAGGGAGGGGCTCCTCTGTATTCCACAGGAGAGACAGGTCGAGCTGTGGGCACACCTTCACCATGTCTGCATGGCACTGATACACAGGCAAGGACCAAGCCAGTTCTGGGTGGCCCTGGGTCACCAGCATAATCGCTGGCCTGGCTTTCTGTTTTGAGCTATACCACTATGCCGGTCCTCCAAACCCTTGATTGAAGCCCAGGTTGGCAGGAGGCATTAGGCTGGCTGAGTACATGGCTCTGATCTTTGCAGGCTTTAGACGGGTAGGAGACAGTGCAGAGTTACACCGAAATGAGATCTCTCTGCTCTCAGAATTTGCTTTCTGGTAAGTGAGCTGGGACAAGTGGACTTGAAAGGGCTCTTTGTTACTGTGCCATTGGAAGACTGTTCAGAATTTCCTGTGGGCTATATTAGTCTCGGCGATTTTTTCTGTTTTTAGAAACTCCAGTCATACGACACTTTTTTACCTTTAAAAAAGAACATTTCAGTATTATCTAATATGGCAGGGATGCCATGGTAGAAAGCTAGACTGTTCACAACTCACTGGCTTGTAAAAAGAGTGACTGTTCCAAAGGTTATCTCCAACTATTTTATTTTCAGTGAATTTGTAAGAAAATTTCTGTACCCAGATTCTTCACATTGAGGTTTCATGTACAGTAAGGACATTTCTGAAGAAACTGGGAGATCAGTTTAACGCTAAAGTGTATGAGGGAAGAAGTCTACTTTAAGAATCTTGACTCAGTAAGCTGCTCAGTTTAAGCTAGTGTATTAGATCCAAGCCTTTCTGGAACCAGAGAGAAGTGAGTTGAAGCTTCAACACAGCAGTATAATTGCTTTTTTGAAATCTTGTGTATTGGTTAAGGTAGAATTTAAATCTGTTAAAAAAAAAAAAGATTTCCCATAGCATTGCCCAAGCACTGGACTTTGTTTTGGCCTTGTCTTCATTTGGCGTGCAGAGTGAAGAGTTCCTTCGATGTCACTCGTGGACTCAGAGTGCACCTTGTCACCATCTCCAGAAAAGGCCATGGGACATGTCTCACTATGGAGGTTGAGTTTGGGGATCAAAAAAGCCTGGCACGCTTGTAACATTCTTTCCTCACGCCAGTTAGCCTGTGCTGGTAGCTTGGACAATGCTTGCCGAAGAAACCCTTATCTTACAAACGGTTACAAATGCTATTCAAAAGAGGGAAATAGTAATGAAATGGCTATAAACGTTGCTTAGAAGAATGAAGTTGGATTTATACCAGGTCTCTCTATGTAATCCCTCTTTTTTGAAAAGTTTGTTGTTTTGATACTGGGGATCGAACTCGGGACCTTGCTCTTGCGAGGCAGGCAGCGAACCACTGCACTAAATCCCCAGCCCTGTTTTGTTTTGTTTTTTTCAGTGCTGGGCATTGTAGCCTGGGCCTTGCACATGTTAGGCAAATGCTTTACCACTAAACTACATCTCCCAGGCCTGCTCCTTTTTTTTTTTAAGGTATCTGTAGAAAGCTTCGTAGTGAGGTATATTTTAGAGGTCATAGTATTAAATGTCTCATGAGTGATGTGGTATATTAAAACAAGAATGAAATGTTAACTTCAGATTTAGAAGCCCTGTGTTTTATATATAATCCTCAGGGAATGTAGTTCTTCAGGCCTAAAAAGTGGTTAGAGCAGAAAGGGCAGATATCGGTTCCTCTGAGAAGATTTGGGTGGGTGGAGCTTCTGGTACCCAAGGGGACCTAGTCTTCTTGCCTCCTTTCTCCTGCAGTCCCCAAGGCCCTATTGGTGGGCATTGCCTACAAACCGCTACCCTTCCAGTCACATCTCATCCTTTCCTTACCCCAGTTTCCAAATTTAGTTAATCTGCATGCAAGTTGTATTGAGCCTTGTCCCTGCCATGACTTACACAGCTTAACTTTTAGAAGAATTTTTACACGGGTATTTAAAAAGCAGATGGATCCTGTCACAGGGTCAGAGTTAGAAAATATGGAAGCTGAAAAGATATAATTTCCCCATTGAATCTTTACTGTTGGGTACTTGGCTTTGCCCTTGGGGTGAGGCTTAATGAAGAAAGGTTTTCACCACCTATCCCCAGAGATCCAAAGCAAAAGAGGCTGGAAGCAGTGCTGTTGCCCTTTGCTGCAGTGAGTTGGACCTGTCTTCCAGTGTGACTGAGCATCAGCTCTGACCTCCATGACCTCCTGTGGCCTTGTTGAAGGGACACAGTGGCGGATCTTCCAGTAATAAGGGTCAGGCTTCCCATATGGGGCACACTAGGAGCAGGGCCAGCTGCCACTTGTGTCCACCCAAGAAGAAAGTGCCGGGAGCCTGGCGGCTCTGCCCACGCTCCCTTGGCCACACAGCCTAGAGGTCATCTGAAGTGGGAGGTGGGTGATGGTGTCTGCTCTCTGTAAAAGCATTTGATCTGAATATGCTATTGTGTTTTTTGTCTCTGGTTTGCCAGGGCCTGGGAGGAGTTTCATGGCCTGGTGAACAGCAGCGGCCGCTGATCGGCGCTCCCCCTCTGTCTCACACTCAGGGTAGGGCCTTGTCTACCTTCTCTGTAACCCCATGATATATCTCTTAGCAGAGGCACCCTCTCCCCAAGGGGCCGCCCTTGCCCATTGGCCCCAGCCTTGCCCCCTCTGCCAGCATTGAGCCTCCCTGGCCAGTCACATCTCCCTGTGGACCTTTGGCAGGTCATGGAACCTCATTATGCTTCTGGTCTGAAAAACGAGGCTCCACAGACCAAGAGGTCTCAGAGATCCCTTTAGATGCTAACATTTTTTATGATGGTTAAAGTGCCCCAGGGTGTTTTGTTTTGTTTTGTGACTCTAATAAGACTGCTTTCATGCTGTCTGCCAAAGTCCTGTGGCCAGAAGGGCAGTTCCATAGGCCCAGATTGGGTTAGGTGAGAGTTGGGTCTCATTTGCTGGTGGTGTTTGTCAGTTGTGAGGAAACAGCACTGTAAGTTCAGACTTCGAGCAATGAAAGTAAGCGAGTCTTGGGCTGGGGATTTAGCTCAGTGGTTCCGCCGCCTGTCCTGAAAGTGCAAGGACCCCAGTTTGAGCCCTAGTACAAAAAAAAAAAAAAAAAAAAAAAGGGGG